AAACAAAAGAAAGATCTAGGAACATTGTTTACATCAATCCGAGTTACCATACGACAACATTACCATGGACAACACTATAAACTGACCATGTATGAAATTAAATGATCCTAACTTTTTGTCTTATTGATAAAATCAATGTCGTTTTATATAAACAAGGGTGGTTTTGCGCGAGCACCGAACATTATTGATTTTATTCTTACGACTGATTAACTCTTACTGGGGTCCCTCTAGGGTTACTGCCGGTCCCAAGCGCGGGTAAAGGAGGTGGATAAAGCATGAGGTTAGTAAACCTACCTCGTCAAATAACTTTAATCGCAGTAACCTAATATGTCCATTTTAACACTACTATCAGTCAAAGAGCACGCATGTAGAATTGTTATGACAATATATGACAAGATCTGAGGTTCTTCGTAAACTACCAGGTAGTAACCATTTCTGACGACCACAGGATATAAGTATTTAGAATTATCGGACAATTTTTTAAACTGAAGGAATTACTCAAAGAGCTACATAAATCCGGAAGTAGAATTTTTCTCTGCTTGAGATAAGTGAGATCCTCTCCTCATATGCATAAGCTTTAGAAATCAATAATTATATTACGATTCAATTTCTTTTCACCAGTGATAATAGTGGAGACACCAGTTTATCTGGTGTTCTATCAAAAATAGAACCGATTACTTACATGATAAGCCCAAGGAGCTGAATAAAATCTATCAAAAATATTGATTAACTAGCAAATGAGTTTTTCTTATATCTGTTAGGGTTAACTCTTTTATACATGCTCTGGTCCAGTCTTCATAAGTAGTTCATTTTATATGGATTATCATAAAAGTGATCATTCTGATGAATAATAAATAAAAATCTCATTGATTTTAGGTAAATTGAAGTATGTGACGAAATCTCAGCACGGATACAGAAGGCTCGTCTAGCTTTCACCAACTTGCGTCATTTATAGCGTAGGCAAGATGTCCGTCTAGCAACCAAAGGATGAGTTTACTACGCAGCAGTTCGTTCCATCCTACTTTATGGCAGTGAAACATGGCCGGTAAGAGTAGAGGATATTCGTAGACTACTAGTATTCGATCATAGGTGTCTTCGAAGCATTGCTCGTATATCCTGGGACCACCGAGTAAGTAATGAAGTTGTTAGGAAACGGGTACTAGGTAAGAATGGCAAATCGATTGGTGAAGTAGTGAAACTTCATCAGCTGAGATGGCTGGGACACGTGTTACATATGCCCAACCACCGACTGCCCTGACGTGCAATGTTTTATGGTGTAGGAGTGGGTTGGAAGAAAGCTAGGGTCGCCACAACAAGACGTGGCACAAATCCATGAAGTCACTGACAAGTGGACTGAGCCATGTTGGTAGGTGTAGACTACCTGGTTGGGATTCGCGAGATGATAGCAATAGATAGTTAGAGACCTTGAATGACATGGCTCAAAATCGTTTGCAATGGCGAAGGTGTATCCACTCTTTGTGTTCTGCCAAATTCTAATCCTCTGAATTCTTCATGTCCCTATCCTTTTTCTCTTTCCAAATTTATTTCATTGTATTATACTCCTTGAATAACATCTTCAAACCCTAATCTTTCGGATTACTGTTTATACTCTTACTACTTCTACCTCTATGGGATTTGAATCGACAACTGCATCTCTGTGCTAAAGTGGTATGGCAACTCGAACTGGTGTACGTACGTACGAAGTTCTACGTTGTGACTGACTGACTGAATTCTAAGCTTATTTATGCTAATTATTTTATTTCTATTCAGTGGAATCACTTTCCTTAGCTACTTAAAGTAAATTACTTAGTTCACCGTCGTGATAGTCTGGGAATGACTTATAATGTAGTAAGTTTCCTAAGAGTTCTGATCTCATATTATAGTCCAAGTAATAAAACAAATTTAACCTTAAAAATATGTTTTCTTTTGTTGTCAAAACAAATGTAGTTCACCTTATACAAATTCTAAATTCCTTATCTACAAGTTATGTGAAAGCACGTGATCAATATTTTGAAAATCGCTTTCATACTTGACTGAATCTTTGTGAGCATCACTTACGTAATTTTGTGCTGTAATTGATGTTTTTGTTACACATGGTTACGAAGTGTCCCTTGTTATAATTTAGTTCATGTGACTTGTTTGGTTTGATATGTATCTCATGAGTGAATGGAAATCTCAAATTAAAGTAATTTACTCTATTCGATAATTTTTTACATAATCTTATAATTTACATTACGGACTTATCTTAATTAGACAACCATCGGAAACTATGAAACATTGAATGACAAAAAAGGAAATTATAATGTAGAAATTAGTATAGCTTACTATCATCCGTTGGTCCACCAGTGTGTTTGGTACCTGAGTGGTTACGCCACAGGATTGGGCTGTGCTGTTTGGATTGTAGCGTTGAAGCCTATTTAGTGTCTGGTTCTCCTATAGGGCGGGATTGAGCTGTACTTCTTGAGTTAAGCCTGGGCAGTGTCTGGCTCTCTTGTTAAACGGGATTGAGCTGTACTGTTTGGGTTGCCTCGTGAAAGTCTGGATGGTGTCTGGTTCTCCTGAAAACCAGTGCAAGATTACCCTGTCCCATAAGGGTATACTATATAACCAGCATAACTATGATCCGTAGTCGAAGGTATAATCGATAAACCTTTATAAGTGGCTTCTGTTTAATGTATGGTCATATGTGACCTAGTCTTCAAAAAATAACTGCTTATCAAGTTTCGTTCGATTTTAATACATTCTAGCCGTACAAATTTTATCTATGTTAGTTTGGATACTATAGCTACTCTATAGTACTTTCTTGTGCATTAACACTATACGTGATATTATTTATGCAGGACATTTCTTTCAAAGTTACTTGATAATCGTTGGATGAAAAGTCGAAAACTAAAGAGCTCGTTACGAGAGCTGAATCCGATAACAGTTAATCTTAAAAAATCACTGAACAAGATTTCTGATTGAAGAGAAGGGGACTTCATGAAATTTAACAGTCTTCAACGTTTGTGCAGATAATTTCATTGATATTATGGACCGATCTAAGATCATCGGTGAAAAATTGGAAATAATAGACGACCGTTTCGTCCTAGTGTGAGACTCCTCAGAAGTGTTGTTTAAATATTTAAAATAACTGGTTTTATTCAATAAACTAGTTCCACACTTATATAGACTCCATTTACATAGACTCAACAATGATATCAAATCTTTTTTGATAAAGTGAACATTTCGTTGATACTAAAACAGTCGTAATTGTAAACAAAGAACATTTCTCTCAAATATTCTCTATAATCAATTTTAAACACAAGTTAACAAGTACAAAATTGATTGAAATATTGGTAAGAAATAACCCCTTCCCTCAAGAAAAGCTAGATTCACCATTTTACTATACTGATGACCTTCACATGAAAACCAAAAGTGAATACCAATGTTACTTGTAAATCCTCGATTGCACTTAAAATAACGAGCTTTTAGGTGGTTATTGGAAGTGATTAATGGGTTGTTGTATCGCACTTCTCTAATTGGACGTTTATATATTTAGAGGGCATACGATATAACAGGGTAACTACGAAAATTTACCGACAGTACAGGAAATAATTCTACATTTATGATTTTAATAATGTAATAGGTGCCATAAAGGCTATCTAGACTCAAAAACCTCGTTATTTGCCCACTAGTGACTAACTTACAGCGGTAAGTTTTTGATTTCTAGTTCGAAGTAGTGATCAACGGAGTTCAATCATGGTAGTGAAGCAGCTACTCACAAATGGGATTGGAAGATGGTTGTGTAATGTTATAAGTCGACTGAATTTAGAAATGTAAAGTTTAAGATATGAACTCATAGGCTCAAATAGCAGTCGTTCGCCATGATGCTTTAATGTTCTGAATTTGCTTTCTGGTAGAGTAATGTACTGGCACATTTCTGGAGTCTTGTTTTATGAAGAAGCATATTACCAGTGATTCTTTTTTTACATTGATAGTCTAAAATCAATCAGTAATATGAAGTCACAAAATTTCTAAACTATTTCCAGTTACCTTTTTGCGTTTTAGCTTTGGTGTTAGTTATAGCAGGACGGTTTGATATCACTAATCACTACTTTACCTTATATCTTCAGACAGTTGAACATTTGAATGTTTTTCATCTAAAGAAATACTACTCTAGCTTCATTAGTCTATATAGTGATTCACTTACCAATAAGTTTCCCACTATTACTGACACTTGAGACACCTGAATATGCCTATATCTTTCCACAATTCCGAATAAATTCGTTTATTAATATTTGAAACTGTAGCTGATAGACAGTTCATCCTTTAAGTAGGCATTTCACTGAAATTTATTCTGAATTTGTTTGGTATCTGCACCTGTTGTTTCCATTCAAGTATTGGGGCATATTAACAAAATCAATCCTAGATGGATTATTCAACTATTAATGAGTTATTTTTCTTGTCGACCCCCAAGAGTAAACTTGTTGATATAGTTATCTAATTGAAAACTAAACAGCCTTATTTACTTAGTACTGTTTGTTAGGATCTTCCCATTGATGTTTTTAGGACTGCAACTGATCAGTCTCTAATTGGCATATGTGCATACCGTGCGTATTGCCTCGATATAGCCTAAATTCACAAGCATGGTAAGCAAAGATGGATAGTGGCTAGCAGTGGAATCCATCTTTGCTTAAACAGATTTATATTTGCCAATAATGAAACACTAAACAACTTATACAAAACTGAAGAGTGATTGACTACTGGATTATATGCATCAGCAGTTAATAATCTAAAGAGGTCTCACTTTACTTAAAGCAGGACTGACTAAGAACAATCATTAGAACTTATGATTTAATTAACCAACTGATAGAAAATTGGTTCCATTTATGAATTATAATTATTGACTTCATTCCAAAGGTTCAAAACTAGGTATAAATAAGCTTCAATATGAGTTAACGATCAACCGAATTTAGTTACTCACAAACATGATCGATATCTCTTTCATCTTTCCAGATATTCTTATGACAACATTTGCTGAAACTTAATATCTTTAATATACCAATTTTAATGCATAAAATGTCGTCAGACTGTTTTAGTGAATTGACAACACGGTCAATGATAAGCTTTGTACATTTTATATTAAGTAAGATCCAGTGAAATTTTACAAAACTTATTCAAATATTAATTCAATGTATATTTAGGGCATAAGAAATTTAAAGGACGATAAATGAAACAATGAACTAAATTGACAAATATTATTTTTTTGACTGATAGTAATTAAGTAGTTCGAACTAGTGGTGATATTTTTTTACATTAGACATTAAGATACTACTAATTATAATATGCTTTGGTTGTCAAAACAAAAAAAGCAAGTAACTGACATGAGAAGAGACAAAATTTAGAAGTGTAAGAAGAAGAAGACCAACAAAACAATCAACGTTGTTTGGCTTTACATATCTCAGTGAATTCCGGTTTTAATGAAGCTCCACCAACCAAAAATCCATCGACATCATGTTGTTGAGCTAATTCTTTACAATTGGCAGCAGTTACAGATCCTTTGCGTGTAGTAAATAAAATAAGAAAGAAAAAAATGAGATTTTTAATACAGATCATAGATACTCGCGTTGACAATCAAAATTGATAGTGTATTTCTAAGGATTAATAACCGAATAGTTGGACTGTAGACAGCGAGAGATCCCAAGACACAACTGTTGTACTTTTTGAAACTCGTCAACTGAATTCACCCGCTTTTCAATTTTAATATTTATGTTGGGAGTCAAACCCAGTTCCATTCAAATTGAAAACCAATGCAATATCCATTGAGCTACTAAGTTCAGATAGCCACTAACTTGTTCTATGCGAAGATGTGTCTGTCATTAAGAGTGAAGTGTTTGAGTTACATCCAAATGATTAACCTTAAATAGTATAGAAAGTATCGTCGATTTTACTTCTAGTGAGAATCCATCTATTGTAAAGAATGTGTGCCGAGTGTCTATATACAACACAGTAGATATATATTCCAGCAGGAGGAATTTAAATTAAGCCGTGAATTTCAACAACGAGATAGTACAAACACTTTTTTCCAGTTATAGAGACATCACATCCCGTAAAAAACGTAAATTTTTATCTAGACTCATTAGCTTAGTAGATAGTGTTCAGGTGAATGAATCAAAAGATAATGGGTTATCATAGAAAATCCCTAAACGACAGGAAGAAAAATTTAATTATTTCCTTGTTAATCATGAATGTTACATGAATGTACAATACAATTATTGATGAATGTAATAAACTTTGGAAACAGTCATAAATACTTTCTAGAAAATTTCTCAATACGAAACTTGTGTTTTAAAGTCTTTTTTTGTTGCACTTTCTAAAAACTATCAGTTAGCAACTATTAAAAATAACTTTTGTGCTTGCTGATATTATTATATGGAAATGATTCACAACATTTAAGTCTCGATTACCTAATCAAAAACCAGTTGGAATTGAAGCTTTTACTTCCGTAGTCTGTTTAAGTATAGAAGTAAGAACTTATAAATATAAACAGAGATGGATAGTGGCTAGCAGTGGAATCCAGGACGCGCGTTTCGTCCTATTTGGGACTCGTCAGCTGGATGTACCTGCATCTCAGAGTTGATGTTCACTCTGGGACTCGAACCCAGTACCCTGTGGGTACTGGGTTCGAGTCCCAGAGTGAACATCAACTCTGAGATGCAGGTACATCCAGCTGACGAGTCCCAAATAGGACGAAACGCGCGTCCTGGATTCCACTGCTAGCCACTATCCATCTCTGCTTACCATGCTTGTGAATTAAGGTATATCGAGGCAATACGCACAGTATGCACATATGCCAATTAGAGACTGACCAGTTGCAGTCCTAAACACATCGATGGGAAGATCCAAACAAACAATACTAAGTGAATTATAAATATAAACTTTAGGAAATCGAAAGCCTGAAAACCAATAGTAAGAAATGCCAGGATTGTTATTAACTTATTGGTTAATTAAAAATTCAGTATGTTGTTCGAATTCTGGAATTAAACGACATTTGCGAAATGCGATAACTGACTAAAAGTATCTCGCACATATTTCAGTTGCTTAGGAAATTTGCAGAAAAACTTATTAACCTCTGACACATGGTTATTTTTACAATTATTGAATTCAAAGATTGAAGAAAATTTAGGTATAAGCATAATAAACGGATGCCCTTGGGTTAACCAATTAAAATTAAAATAACGCGCCTTGTAAATTTTGAGCGAATTTTAAAGTGCAGTCATAGACAATATGTTATTGCTAACCAAATGGAAATAGACAATATTTGGTCCCTAGGATGTTTAAAATCAACGAAGATATTTATCATGAAACAGTAAATCTTAAATAACTCTTAAGCTAAATTACACAACACACCCACTCCTAAAGCAGACTGTGTTTAAGTACTTGGCGTCGTTAATTGGGTAATCGATAGTGTTTAGGTGATATTCTCACTTTCTTACCCCCACTCAAGCCTATAAACAGAAGGGTGGCAAAACATCTCATTAGTCTTGATTTCAGTTCGTGTTGAAAACGCTAACCCTAGTTTGCAAATTTAACTCAAAATTCAAGCCTAACTGTTATTACTTAATCTTTTTGTATTATAATTGATATCAGTTTCAGATGAAAACTTTATAAGATAATAACATCAACTGACAACACTAGCGCGATTCCTAATATGTATGCATATGCCCCTTTTTCTCTACTACAAGGGACGATTTGATTTTTGATGGTTAATTATCGCGATCAAAGCTGTTATTCTAGTATTATTTCATTACTTTGTATTGTTAATTGTTTAATTAATTCGGTGGCGCTTCACCCAAGGTCGTCAGTATATGATAATTTTATCAGATAATGTAATGTTAAGTCATCTAACTACAGTATTTTATGCTGAATGAAGATAATAAAAATAGAACAACTGATTAAAAGTTTAATAAACAGAAAATCAAAATATGATCCACTTACCACCATAGATAATACGTATATTTTCATCAACTCCATTTGGTGCATTCGTTTTAAACCATTTACGAAGGAAATTATGAACTTCTTGAGCTTGTTGTGGTGTAGCAACTTTACCTGTTCCAATAGCCCAAACTGGTTCATATGCTACGACTACTCGTTTCCATTCATCAGCTGATTTAATCTTATCTAAAATGAAATAGAATTATTTCAGTCAAAATGATTACAAGATATTTGGTTTTTTTACATAACAAGCTAAACTAGAGAAATAAAATAAGGGACGAATGTGTCCAGTAATTACTATTATCATATATTGAACTAAATGTTGACTGAACTTGAAACATTGTTTAATACTTGACTAAATATCTGCTATTTATTTAAAAGTTTTTTATTTAAAATAGCACTCCCTAAATTCATGTGAATTGTTGGTTTAAAACAAAACATTTGATTCAACAACAAAAATTTCAGAGTTATGAATTTGTATAAAATACAGTCAATCAATCTGTAAAACAGTCAACAAAGAAAAGAATTTTAATTTGGTGGGGTTTTTCTTTTGATGAAGTTTAACTGAGTAATGAGAGAAAACAATTGTATGGTACTTATAGATCGTCATTAGTTGTCCTAGTGTGGTGTGGTCTGCTTATATTCACATAAGTAGTATATAGCGATGGTCAGAGATAGAATGTACTCTGGCAAAAGAGTGATAAGCAAAGCACAGGAATGAAGCGCATTTGGTACGAAAATGTATGAACAATGATATCACAGAAGACGGACTGATATTTGCAGAAGGAACAATGAAGATTGAGACCATTGATTGTTATTTTGCAAATTAAGTGTTTACTGTATGGTTATCAGAATTTAGTGAGATAGTCTGTAATTTGTACTTTGATACATTCAATTGTCCCAACCCGTGTTCTCATTCACTACACTAGGAGTATATAATTTCGATAAGCACAATTTACAAATGTTGTCTTGATTAAATTTTGAAAATACTAGCTATGTTTATGCAAAGTGTTTGAGATAATTTGAGATTATTTCTAATTACGAACGACTAGTATATTCTTCTTATATGAAATGGGATCTATGCAAACTAGACAGGTCGGAAGATTCACAAACTACAACTCATCAACACTAATAATTCAAAAACGAATAAAACAGAAAGAATATCGATTAATCTGGACTAGTGATTTAGTAACCGTACAAATTTATATGGAGAAATTTATACAAATGTCGCATTCTTATCTTTACTGTTTGAGAAAAGGAGTTTATAAAATTGATAAATGGATTTTTGATCAGTGGACTGAATAAATAGAATATTGACTGATATGTTTTTAAGCAAAGATACGATATGATTGAATGATGGCTGTTCATCTAACCAAATTATCAACATAAGCCCATAAATAATTTGAGATCAATCACAAGACCATTAACTTGTAGAACAGTTTTTCATATAATGAAATTGTTTAATTATATACAAATTTTTAATAATGAAGTCAACATAATTAAATTTATTTATTTTTATTTAAACACAAATATTAGTACAAAGGGGCACCAGATATATATGTGCCATATAAATCTCATTTGATTTGTGTGAGGGCTGTGATACTGCCTAGGTGCTCAAACCGAAGTAGGTGGTTTTCTTAGGGGGCCACACCCGAAGCCTTCAACATAAAGGTCTGATTCAGAAGGCAGTGGGGCATCGTGAAGAGATGCAGTCCCATGGTAGACGATGACCAACGATTGATTCACAGGCCATTTGCTCCCTCAGTATACTGGAGCTCCAGTGCACCATTGGTTTGTAATCAGGGTTTTCCAACTCCCCTAAGTGGATCCTCCGTATCCATCAACCCAGTTAAAGCGTCGGACAATCACTTTTCGTCCTCTCGATTTCGTAAACAACACCCCCGCCATGAGAAGGCAGTGAGTAGAACTTCCCTGGCAGAGGCTCTCCCCACTCTCGGCAGCACCAGGGCATTTGGGGGCAACATAATTAAATGGTATCATTGATTGATGGAAATTAGTTTGTAATTCGTTTACTCTTAAATAAACTGACAGTTTGTATTATTTGTTGATCAGTATATCAAATAAAAAATTAATAAGAATGTGCATAAATGAAAGATATCATCGCATAAGGTTTTTCTTGAATAAATAGGTTTATTAGAAAGATTGGTAATTAGATACATTTTGATCAATATTTTGGTATTACGACTAAAAGTTTTCTCAATTTATTTAACTTTCCAACTCAAATGAAATATGTTGCTGTGAATAGAACAAAGAAATGCATATGTTTTATTTGTTCAACAAAAAGCAACCCTCATCATTGTAACCAGGTTAACTTCTTATTTTAACAGAATAAAAGTTAAAACAATGATGTGTTTTTGATTCAAGATGAAATGCTTCTTTTAGAAATTAACTTAAATAAGGGAAAGAGTAAAGCAATTATAATTAAAGATTTTCATATTCGGAAGTATACAACAGAAAGTAGTGATTATTTTGTGAGTTCAGGTGATTATTAGTAGTACTGTAGTGAAAAGAACACGACTGGGGACAGTCGAATGTATTTAAGCACAAATTACAGACTATCTCACTAAATTCTGATAACCATACAACAAACAGTTAATTTGCAAAATAACAACCAATTGTCTCAATCTTCACTGTTTCTTCTGCAAATATCAGTCCATCTTCTCTGTTTATGCATTTTCGTACTTAATGCGCTTCATTTCAGTTCTTTCCTTATCGATCTTCTGCCAAAATACATTCTACGTCTGACCATCTCTATATACTACTTATATGGATATAAGTAGACCACATCACAGTATTACTGAGAAATCAATGATAACATAACGAATTATGTAAAATTTTACTTAGTTACCATCAATCCTGAATGTGGGACAAATGACCTCCAGTTCAGTTTAGTGCATCACTTCAAGACAGATAATTAAAATCAACAAGGCGAATAGCAATTATGTGTATGAATGTTAGTAAAAAATACTAAGAATATATAAAATATGATATGAAGAGCAGGTATGAAATACAGCGATGTGAAATAAACTTCAATATAAGCTTACTTGCAATGGCTTTTAACTGTCTAACGCATACTTCCTCTGTTTTATTAGATTCACGCTCTGATAATGTTTCACCAATACATGCAATAACGCTTAGACCTTCAGCAAGTGCATGTTGAACTTTTTCAGCAATAAGCTTTGTTATAAAAAAATATGGAAAATAATTTTAACAAAAATAAAAAATATCCTGACAAATATTTTACTAAAAGATAATACATTAAAAATTGATTTTAAATACAACAAATAATCAGTAGATTAAATTCACTTAGCATTCTTTGTTTGAATCTTCCCATTGACGTTTAAGATTGCAATTGATCAGTCTCTTATTGGCATGTGTGCATACCGTACATATTGCCTCGATATAGCTTTAATTCACAAGTATTATAAGCAAAGATGGATAGTGGCTAGCAGGGGAATCCAGGACGCGCGCCCCATAGTGAACTGAGTGGATAACGCGATGGCGTTCTAAGCGAACCGTATTGGGCTCGAGTCCCAGAAGGAACATCAACTCTGAGAAGCAGGCACATCCAGCTGACGAGTCTCAAATAGGACTGCTAGTCTAAAACAAAAATTATGTCTTTTTAGTATATTGATGAGTATGAAAAAGTTGAACTTCTGACTTTTTCAAAAAGTAAATAACTTCTTTCAAGTCAACACAAAGCTCAACCTTGGAATATTACAGATATACCACTTCTATTATTGATAAACTTAACAAGTGCATTTCAATTTGTTTCTCTATTAGGGATTGCTTAAGTGAGAACATCTTTAATATCTATCATAATAAGGTATAGAATATTCCAATAGACTATTTTGAAAATTGATCTTAAACAATGCCGAAATTCTTACCGTAGTATGCTAGGTTTTAAATGGAAAAGACTTTAAATAATAAACTGTGTTGTTTGTGATGAGTCGTTTAAGCTTTGGGACAGTTTTCGTTACAAATTGATATCAATGAAATAATTAAGGAAAACCAGAAAGCACTAAATATATGCATCTTACACGTTTCAAATTCCTAAATGATGCACACAAATTTTACATCGATTCATGTAAAAAGCTTCCTTTTAAACATTCACATTAGCAAAGGTGTAGAGGAAAGATCAAGAAAACACTTTTGAAATGTTTCGATTACAATTATTTGTTTTATCCAATGAGACAAATAGCTAGTTCAAAGTCAACATTTACAAGTCAATTGATTAATTTAATTAAATGTTTTTGTTTTCGTAGCATAATAGGAATCGACAAGCTTACATACTTTTTAATACATGAAGTAAGTTGTAGGCATAGCTCTACCATGTAAAAAAATCCATTTGTAAACCAACTTAACTCATTAACGACATAAAACCATGTAACATTTCAGTTAAGAAGTTCCCAATTGGAAAATAGGTATGTTCTAACGATTGATTTGCATTCTAATACGTCGAGAACAGTTTTTTCTCATGGTTTTTACCCAATGTGGTTGCCGTGAATTTTATATCTATCAACGGATTCAACTACTCAAGATGAGGATATGCAACGTCAAACCAGGGATAAATGTGGTCATATTTTATACCATAGTAATATGAGAAAATTAAACAGAAGAAATACAAAGGGTGAAAATAGTTATATCAATGAAGTGGAAGACTAAAATACGAAACAAGTGTTTAAAATGTGGAATCGGGTAAAATTATGTATGGACTCAGGACTTAGTAGCTAAGTGGATAACGCAATGACGTTTGAAGCGAATGGTACTGGGTTCGAGTCCTAGAGTGAACATCGACTCTGAGATGCAGGCACATCCAGCTGACGAGTGAAAATAGTTATATCAATGAGGTGGAAGACTAGAATACGAAACAAGTGTTTAAAATGTGAAATCGGGTAAAAGTATATATGGCATGAAATGTTGACCACTTATAAGTCTATCATCTGATCAATTATCTGTACCAGTTACTCTTGAGCGAGTATCAGAATGATTCACTCTCTAGGTACCCCGTTACAGAGTAATAATCCAAGGGAAACTACCGTTCAAAGTTAGTAAATTGCACAATCAAACGCTATTTTACAGAGGCATAAATCAACAGAAGACAAGACGTTGGGGATTATACTAGCCTTTTTAATGAACAGGCTTAAATATTGCTTAATCTATGATATTGTAAGTCGTCAAAAGCTACATTTCAATTTGTTTACAAATAATTCGTTATTCGATGATTACTTTTTAGCTTAAGTTGACTCATAAATTGGTGTTTACTTTAGTACAATTTAATTTTTGTCCCGACAACACTGACCACATTATTTTGTATTTTGTTTCCAGAATGCTTCTGACAAACCAAACTGTAGTATATGAAACTCTTTAAAGTGCTTATTAAATACATAAGAAACATTTTTTATGGATTTCTACCAAGTTAAGATAAACAATTTCAGAGTTTATTTACTTCACCCCGAATTCACGCAGTTGAATAAAAAAAGACATTTTTAAGGAGATAAAGAGAGTACGCTTAACTAATTAGACAGCCCAAATAAAAAATGGTAGATGATAACGGACGTGGGGTATTAATAGATTTCTGAGAAAACAGACACGCTCTCGATTTAAAATAAAACTTAATCTTCTGAGGTTCATAGACTTACATGTACGGAGGAGTTTTGGATATACTTTTGACTCGCTTAGCTAATAATAATTTCACCTCTAACATCCTCACTCAATTATCTGGTCATACGCGAGTATAGAGAGCTCGTATATCAGTAGAAAACGTCGATGACCACAGAGCATAACACAGTAAAATACATGTTCATAAACATCTTCAATGAACACTAAATGTTTCCGATTGCATCGTAACAAAAGGAATCAAAACCAACTATCTAATTCAAATGATCGATTAACGAACTATATTCTTAACAAGAAAATGTACATAAGATAAAATCACAGGCAATTGGTGCAAATCTATCGCAGTTTTTATTTTTACTATATTTTAGTAGTCTAGATAGTGGATTAGGATCGTGTAATTCAGTATATCAATCAACTGTATAACCCTCAGTGCCGTTTTCTAATTTCATTGATAATGATAAGTGGTTTTCTGTTTAGTAGTAGACATATATAATATTTGTTAAAACAAATACAAATAAAGAGATCTGATCAATTTCAGTAGTTAATTAACTACACAACGGACGTTTTATTGCAAACAGTATGTCACAGATGTTTTATTTTAATATGACGTCATGTTCAGCAAATACAATTGCACACCAGATACACTCTCTAAGAACGTTTACAGCAAATATCTTTCAAGTTTCAACTAATTGGTGTAAACATTAGTTTTATAACCTTACAAAATGGGTAACCCATTACTTATCTTAGTGTTTACAAAGTGATTATAATATATCAAACCGGGTAGGTGTTAACTGTCAAAAATCAAACGAAGGTATTTGTATTTCTGTCCACAAAAACACTGCCAAGAAAGTTCATTCATATATCATAAAATGGAAGTTGCTTACTAAAGATGGTACAGTTAAAAAACTTACTTCATCAGATTCACCAAAAATGCTTCTACGCTCAGAATGTCCAAGTATGACCCAATCACAACCAATATCTTTTATCATTGCTGGGCTAAACAAGATTTGTTGAAAAACAAGGATGAAGTTAATATATAAATTACTAATGTGGAATAAAGAGAGAGAGAGAGAAAAGGTGCACAGTGGATACTTTATCCTTCTAATAACTGTGTTAAAGGAAAAATCATGACTTCACTTGCTAATTAAGGAAAAATGGGAAATCGTGATGTGAGAAAAAAAAACTTTTATGTAGAAAAGTATAAAGCCATAAATAAATCCCCATAATAAATAGTTCTGTCAGTCTTCGACATTGATGCTGGTCTCATTAATTTTACTAGATACTCCCTAGTTTTAGGCGTTCGGTCAAACATCCGCACCGGATCACTATTGAGCACGCCCTGCTACATATTCCACACAACAACTAGTCAGCTTAGCTCATATATTTCCCGATGTATTGACTGACTTCCAAAAATACTTTCGAACTTCACCATTGCTGATATCTGGTTTGATTGAGTTTGGAATTCTCTATTAAAAGGTACTACAGCAAACAGTGTTGTCAAACACTGAATATCTGTGGCATCTTAGGCCGCTTATTGCCTTGTGCTAATCTGATAGCGTAATTTGCTTTTAAATAGCACAGACTTATCGTGCAAAACGTTGGCGATAGCATTAAGGAACAAATCATGTAACCGTAGACCCGGTTAGTTTTGATTTTTTTCATTCAGTTACAGGAGAATAAAAAGCAAGACGAGATCATATTTCTTATCATCAATAGTAGCCACTATCTGGAATGCCATCTAACCAGATGTAGTCATTCACCTCAGTAGCGGTTTTAGAATAAGGACTTGAAAACAGAGAACTTAATCATGGTCTATGACCTCTGATCTAGAACAGCTGTGCCTGATACGCGTCTTGCTGCTCATCTATTATTACTATTACCATGCCTCTACCACCTTTTCCCCCCTCTCACTGTTCATTTGTCATTCTTACATTTTAGTTTGTTTGAACTGTTTGCATAGTGACTTTTTCACGCCTAATAGCCAAGGTCTTTTCTAAGCCACTTTTTCTTCACTTTATAACCTCCATATGGTATCTAGTCAATATCTCACACGGTAGTTTGATATCTTTTGGTTCAGAAGACGCTACTGTCCTGAACCAAATTAATTCACACAAGATATAAAAACTCGCAAATAACTACGGAAACTAGTAGGATTGGTCAAGTTCCTAGACTGCTCCTACAGAAACCCATTTAAGAGTTGAATCTATATCATAATACCAAGGAATGAGCACAAACAAAACACATGGTTTCCACCAGCTTGTCACTACGATCTCGTAAACTTGAAGCAAGTAGCTACGTCGTTCCATTGCATACTGCTTCTTGTATTTTAATTCACTCTATCCGCCATTTTTACTTATGTTTAGCTTTAATACACACACCTATGCAGTATGCAGAAAAAGGTTTGTTCCTATAGGAATATAATATAGTATACTATGAAACCTTAACCTATGACAAAGACACATGTTATGTTCTTATTTTCCGGTACCAGCAGCAAATCGAAACATTGATCGAAAAATTAAATAGAAGTTTTTTCGGGTCATTTAGCACCCGAAGGCAGTGGATGGGAACAGTTACCTGATTTCTCCGGTGAATGCACCCTTTGATACTTTATAGCAATTTTGAGCGGCCACATGTATTTCTTTCTTCAAACTTTTTCGAATTTCGTGCAAAAAGACTGAAGGTGGAGCAATTAAAACTTCTAAAATGAGAGCATTTTTCGTACGTGACTTCATGACAAACCCGTGTTATCATCAAAATGGGCTTCTGAGAGTAATTTAAGTAACTTATCGTTGTCATCTCTGCTTCCGTTCATTTTCCAGTTCCCCCCAACAAAAAATTTGCGAGATCCAGACATTTCCTTGGTGAACGGAATCTATATGATTATTAACTGGAAGGACTCTTTGATCAACGCGCTTAATATTCTAAGGAAGAAGTTCAGTAGTTCAGTGTACTAAAACAATCTTCAAGTTACAGTATGTATTTGAGTTGATTTGTAACTAAAGGTTGTTCATAAGTATAATAATATTACATTTTGATCTCCTGTTAGTAACCATTACCCTAGTAGTTTTATTTCGGACAGAATCAAATAGCTGGTATAGAGAGATCATCAATTCACCTAATTTCTTAATTCACAACCGCTTATGTTAGATGCTCCAATCATTAATATGATAACAATGAGATAACTCGTGTTGATAAAAATTTTTTGTCTGATAGCAAGCCCGTGCTATTTTGTCTGAAGTTCCTACAGATACAGTTGCTATAGACTATATCCTCGAACCTCTTTGCTTCCGACTTTCGATATTAAAAGGTTAGCATGTTTCGATTATAAAAGGTGTTACCGGTTACGGCGTTGTCAGACTTCGAATAATCGTGCCATCTTTAGTGCTGAGCACGATGCGATCTGCTACACCAATCCGTAAACCATAAACCTGTTCTTTATCAGAGCATCATATATACCTTTGCTTTTGTTTTTACATATTGTGCAGTTGTCTTCATATTTCCCGATATATTTTTCTCATTCATTGATGTATAGAATTATGGTCTAGTTCGTCATTAGTACTGCTATAATAGAAGATCCAATCCTGAAATTGTAGATTTGTGATGATACAAAAACCGACTGTATAAGATCTTGCGTGAAAGTCACATAATTGACTGTTCTGACTAGTCGAAACGCAATAAACAGCGATATGATGACTAGGGTGTCGATGGAACACATTTGGGCTGCAGATGGAACAATATATTTAATACGAATAAAGGAGATAAGTTACATAATAGTGACCAAACCTGCAACATCGGGTCGTGTGATCTTATGGAATGTATGTTGTCACATTCACCATTGTTGATCTTCTCTTAGTAATATATGTCGAACGCGAATCTTCTCAATGATTATAGGTTCGGCCACGAAGGCCAAGTGGTTAGGAACAATAACACTAAAATCACACCTATTATTAATAATAACGAAGGAGACACGTAAATTATCTAAGATCAAGTCCCTTACGCTACAATCATTTCAGCTAATGCCATTTAGAACCCACAATATTGGTTATATACAGTTACTTATATAGTTTTACTCTGATCCACTACAAAATACAAATCGGTCAGATATCTTAACCACAGAGTAAAATACATCTGCTTAGACGATATCACAAAGAAGAAGTAGGAATTCCTCAATAGCATAATTCTGGTAATAGATTAGCTGAGAAGCATTTCTAGAAAATTACATACGAGGAGAGAATAAACAAGTTGTAGAGATTGACCCTTATTCCTCAAACCAGAATTCAGTGTGAATATCACTGTCAACGTAGTGAATGTACGATTAGCGAAACCATTAAATGAGACATTTTGAGTAGCTAGCATTTTATTGGCATTTCGCATTAGACCAATGATCTCTGCTCAAACAAAAAATAATTTTTCTGAGTTTACCCCTTTGATGTGCGTTTAAAAATTCGACTTTCAAAATAATCTACATTCAAATCTCTTAAATTATCAACCCAGCTCCGTAGTTTACTACAGTCAATATTGTAAATTTTATAAAAATTTATGTTGCCTGTAAAGTGGCACGCTTCACGTAGCAAACTGTTACTTGATTATAAATTATTATTATCATTATTATTATTGTTACAGCGAACAGCGTTCTCAAATGCCGGATATCGGCAAAAACCATATCACCACAAGATCAAAAGCATACAATTCAAAATATTAAAGATCCCTCTAACATTCGAAGTGTGACAGTGCTCTAACAATTACCACCTTATATGATCGAAATATGATTCGCAAAATATTGACGAGGCAATTCTGCCATGTGTTCTGGAGTTATTTCGACCAATGTTGGTACTCATATCTACGATGTTTGGATAAACGTCAGTTGAAACAGCTCAGAAATAGTATTATTGAAAGTCGTGCATACACAGTAATGTCACATCATTGTGAACATGGAAACGTCTTCAGATTCAGTCAAACTCGAGAGGCCATGATCATTAGGCTTGCATTCATCCTGTAATCCCTAAAACATCAAGTTTTGTGGCCGCCTAAAAAATTTAATACACTTTTGTCACGTTCTTCCATTCGTGTATTCATGAATTATGTATATATGTACTGACTACTACTTGCTACTACTTGATACTATTGTTTTCATGAAGTAACATATTTCGATTTCTACAAACTACAGCATTAAAACCGATGTAGCCTTCATGACAGTCGACATCCTCAATTGTCGAATTCCTTACTAATTGACATACAACAACTATGGGTAACACGTATAAAATACTTCAATCTCCAGTATATCGCATTGTACAACACGCTTAAATTATATTTTGAAAATGTTTGTCACAGAAGTATGCACAGTAGTGAAGAACATTTATTCACCATATTGTTTATTAGTGAACTAGACAAAATGACAAACTCAGTGTAGACACCTTACAAAACCTCGTTTATCTAATCAAACTACATAATTATTTCACGTCTACATTTTCTATAGTTCAATCCAGAACTATTCTCAGCCTGTGACTGTTTATTTAGACGAAGGTGAATTAGAACAACATATATTTTAATGATATCCATCGATTCCGGAGAAAGCTAGTAAGGAATGATATTTTCACCAGACTAACCAATTTAATTCACCCTCATGAATGTCATCACCGTATATCACTGTTTTGAAACTAACATGTTTGCGATATATGGTTGCATAGAAGAACTTTGTGTGATGAGACTGTTGAGTCGTATTTTATAATAAGCTATATTTTGTTCCTCTGGTTAGCACTATGAAATAAATTGTCTTCGAATTATTCGATATCACTGACATTAAGAATAATAATGAATGACAATAGCAACTGACCTCATTGTGAGTTTCATCCATCAAATTCTGAGTGTGTTTACATGTGTCTGTGATATTCACTGTGATATTTCAGGTGCCTATGAAGTTGAAGTGCATGGTGATGTGCAACTCGAAATTGGCAAGTAATCACAAACGTCTGTTCCAAAGTTGTCAGAAGTCTGCATTTACTCATGCCCCACATCACATTTAATGTTATGTTCTAAATGTATATTCTAGTTCTGGAATCGTCATTGTGTCTCGAGACAACATAAATAATGTGAGCAGAGAGAACTGTACATATTCTCATCTTCGAGTACGTTCACAAGATTGAGAAACTGAAAGATGCAACAACTTGTGACAGTATCATAGCTCAACACTTGATTGATAGCAAACATAATATTGACATTAGCCAATCTCTCAAATTATCGACAAACAAAATGAAGCAGATTCTCCTCGTTTAGCTGATGCATTGCTCAATAGAAAATCGAAGCCGGATTTGTGTTCAGATAGAGATGGTTATCACTTTATCCCGACCTTATAAAAAATATACATTTTCGAATTAAATCATCTTTAGCCCTTATTATTTTCGTTTTTGTGGTGAAACAGTGATGTACTTGTAACATGACAGTGAGTGTGAAAAAGGATGTCTGACCTTTTGTGAATTGATGTTGGCCAGTATACAATTACTACATTATTTGATTACTAACTTCCTTCTCCATACTCAGTCTATTTGAAAGTATCAAGCCAAATCCTGGTATTGTTGCTTAGAAATATATTGCTTATTTTGATGGACAATCTTCTCTAATCTAACGTTATATAATGCAAGCTAAAATTCTCTTTCCATCCATCCGTGTTTTTCCCTGGCTTAATATGCAGGATTAGTGTGGACACTTCTTTTGTAGTTATTACGCAATCCATTTTGGTCGTTTCCAGTTCTAAAGAACTAACACATCATCTCACTCTATTTTCTACATCCAATTTCACAAGCACTAAAACTAAACAAAATTCCTTAAACATCGTTTGATATTAAAATCTTCATATCTACACTGGTTTGGAATTGTTCACAGATACTTTACACATTTTCAGTGCTTTTATACTGCGTGATTAGATTTCTCGTTCTTGTTGTATACCGATGATCGACAGATTTTAAATCAAAACCTTTCTAAACTAGCTTTCTAAGCAATCAACATCCCAGAACACTTTCATGTCAATAAACAAGAAGGCACTTCAGAAAATGGTAATAGTTTATTTAAATTTACTGTTTAACAACATGTGGATAAATATACGTTTGTAGTAACTAGCCCAAACGAAGCATTTCTAAGCCTCTTTTTTCACCTGGAACGAGAAAAGGAATATCTTTTAATTTTATTCAATTTAGCTTGCACTCAACGAATGTCAACATGGAAACAACTTACGTGACAGTGTCTCACCGGTGACGCTTCCGAACACTTGAACCAACACCGACACCGTCAACACTGCTTGAAATAAATAGTGGATGAGACGCGCTCTATAGCTGTTTGTCGACATTGTTCACTTTCTTGTTTCTAATACTGCCGTAGAGTATATATAGATTTCACTGGTCACGTTGTAAACCAGTGAACGACCAGAGATTTACAAATTAACGACGATTGGCCAACATGTTAAGGTCAGCCAACCAACAATCATTTTGCATTTTAGATTCAGAATCTGTGTGGCCTAACACAGTACAGTTTCTGAACACCAACTATATTTCCTACTCACACAAAAACAAACAAAACAAGTTGAGGAAGTCATTGACAGAATCTCGGAAACCGTCAATGTAAGAAAATTAAAGAACCTCTAAAACATAGATTGCATCATTCCTAACCAAAAGTGAACAATCTTCGACTTGTCTAATCATCCATCAAATTCTGTGTGTGTTTACATGTGTCTGTGATATTCACTGTGATATTTCAGGTGCCTATCAAAGTGAACGCTAACTTCTGCGCCATTGTCGACGAGGTAGCGAACACTAAGGAACAATCTTCCAATTGACTCGTTACAGTCAAAAGAAATTTCACCACACAGATTGAATTGTTGGCCAAACGTTTGACAGAAACAGATGATCAATGAGTTTAACAGTGTACTGATGAAGAAGAGTGTGAGAATGAATCGTTCACCACTGACCGATACATCACCAAGTAAACG